GAAAAATCATTCAGAAAAAGAAATTGTGTGTAAAAACAAGCTTATAGGTGTCTTATTCACAACTGTGAAATGCTATCAATGATGTGAACATAGAAGAAAGATTTAAGGAAATTATATCAAGATCTTGTTATACTGTATAGCCATTCAATTGATAAGTGCCATGCCCCTGTAGAAACAAAGGAGAGTATTTTTCATGTAAATAAAGCTAAAACTAAAAATTGTGAGTCACGTAATTATAGTCTATTCAAACTATGCCTGTGAGAATAAAAACAAGAAAATAAGAAAAATAAAAATAGATGTTGTTGAAGTATCTTTTGAATTCATGTTTTATTTTATAATGTTTTAAAGTTCTTTCAATAATAAAAATTTTTAAACTTAATGATTGTCCCAGACCACACCTTCAAGAGTTAATAAGCATGCATTAAATGCCTCTGGCCTTAAAAACATGTAAAAATCTATTTATAGACATACACACTAACAAACATCTTTACATGAATAAAATATGTATTTTATACTTTTATTTTGGCCTATCACATGACAGGATACAAGGTGATGTCATGGGAAAAGGCTGTACCAGGAGTTGGCAGGCCTGAGCCATGGTCCTGACTCCCCAGGTTCACTGGAGACCAGGCAGAGAATGCAACAAGATGCCAGTTCTCAGGTTCCCAATGGGAATAAATGGAGCAGAAAGATCAGCCCATAGATCCCTCCTTTAAATTACTGAATCTGTACCTCTAAAGATATTAGCTTTTAATCTGTGGCCTAATTCATGGCTAGCTTGAAAAATAAGAAAATGGTCAGGATGTAGTGTGCCGTTAGCTTTGGCCAATTAAATAAGGAATATGCGAGGTAACATGCATGAAAACAGCAACAAAAAGACCCTTCATTCAACAGGTATTTATTCAGCATACAAAATGTCAGCCCTTATAAAGCTTATATGCTTTTTTCACTTTTTTTCTTTTTTCTTTCTTTCTTCCTTCCTTTCTTTCTTTTTCTTTTTCAGACAGGGTCTCACTCTGTTGCCCAGGCTGGAGTACAGTGGTATGATCAGGGCTCACTGCAGCCTTGAACTCCCTGGGCTCAGAGGATCCTCCCACCCCAGATTCCCAAGTAGCTGGGACTATAGGCACACACGCACTACCATGTCTGGCTAATTTTTGTATTTTTGTAGAGCTGGCTACATGTTGCCCAGGGTGTCAAATGATCATCCGCCTCGGCCTCCCAAAGTGCTAGGATAGCAGGCATGAGCCACCATGCCCAGCCAGGAGCTTATATTCTAAAGGAGCAGGGTGAGCATAGATGATAAACCAAATAAATAAACAGAACATTTAGTTGATCACATGGTAGTAAATGCTATGGAGAAAAATAAATCAGGATGAGAGAGACAATTCTGGAGGGGTAGTTGGCAAACTTAAGTAGGGTCTCCAGAAGAAGTCTTCCATGGAAAACTACAAGTGCGTAAAAACCTGAAGGAAGTGAGGAAACAGCTCTCAGGATCCCTGTGAGCATTTTCACGGGGATTGGAAACCACTGGGGGATTTGGAGCAGATGGTGCTATGGTCTGATGTAACAGCCTCACTCCAGTTGCTGTGTTCGGAGTAAGGTGTAGCAAAGCAAGGTGGAAATAGGGAGATCAGTTGAGGAAGCTGTGGCAATCACCAAGGCACTGCGATAACAAGTAAGATGGTGAAAGTGGTTGCAATTGGATATACGCAGTTAGCATCAGATCATCACATCAGGTCAAAGAGCATAGAATTTCTAAACCAAACCTGCCTTAGACATAACATTTAAATGTCATTATTATCATTAAAATATTGAAGTAAAAAAACAGGGTTAGCACAATTTCTTATTACCAGTTTTTTGATTGACATAATCATTCAGTTACATTTCTATCATATACTGTGTATGAACCATTCTTTTCATACAGAGTGTGAAGGATGTGTGGTGGAAGAGGAGTGAAGTCTAACCCAAGGTATGGGGCCAGAGATGGGAAAACTGCAGACAGGTTTAGCAGCAAGGAAGACAAGGAGTCTGATTTGGGAGTGTTTAGATGCCTATTAGATGTCCTAGTGGAACTCAAAAGTAGGCAGTTGGATATAGAAGTCTAGAGTTAAAAGTGAGTCACCAGGCTAGAGTTATCAATTTAGGAATTACCGGTAGATAGAGAGTTAAATGATACAAAGCCATGAGACTAGATGAGATCACCAAAAGAGAGCGCATAGATAGAAAAAACATCTGAGCACTAAGCCCTCAGAGAAATCCAATGCTAAGAATTTGTGCAGAACGGGGGTCCAACCAGGGAAATGTGAAAGAATGTCCAGTATGTCAGAAGGAAAACCAGGAGACTGTGGTAAAAGCCAAGTGAAGAAAGCATTTCAGAGAGGAGTGATTCTTTCTGGAATACCAGTTGTCAGTGGTGGAATCTACACTTGCAGATTTTCCGTGACAAGTGAAGATGTCTATATAATAGAGAGAGATGGATATACACACTGACTAGAAGGAAGACTGTTTATAATTACACCTCATAAGAAGAGCATATTTGTGTGTCAGTGTGCTGTGCCATTATATTCCAAATAGATACCCATTTTGAAATATCCAGGATTTCACGGTTTCCATACCTTTCCCCACCTCCATTATCACAAATGACTGTTTCTAATTGCTTTTATGATTGTTTTCCCCTTATCTTGTGGAGATATTTTCAAGATCGGTATGATTATAAATGGAAAATATTCTAATTCTCAATAAGTGGGTTAATGAAGGAGCAGACCAATTATGAATTATTTGCTAAACTAGACTCTAAAAATTACATCTACTTATTCGTAAATGTTGAATTTACATTGGATTGTGGAAGTGTAATATTCTGGGAACTCATGGCCCTTTAAAAAAGTGAAACTTGTCTGTTAATATGTTCGTCATAAGTACATGCTGAGCACATTTTATTCCTTAAGCTACTTTTCACCCCAAACCCTGACAAGGAAATCAGGCTTTCTTACTCTCTGATGAAATAGGGTGTGTTCTTTAAGTCACCTTCCCTGATAAACCACCTGAGAGAAGAGAAAAAGAAATAGATGTAACTCAGTTGACAGCCTTGGGATATAGACATCCCATCTCCATTCATCTTTGCTTTTACTGGATATCAGGCTGCCAGTCTAATAAGGCAACAAAGAAGGCTAGGTGGAGGTGGCTCAGGCCTGTAATCCCAGCACTTTGGGAGGCTGAGGCAGACAGATCTTGGGGTCAGGAGTTAGAGATCAGCCTGGCCAATATGGTGAAACCCCGTCTCTACTAAAAAAAAATACAAAAATTAGCCAGGCATGGTAGCCTATAGTCCCAGCTACTCAGGAGGCTGTGGCAGAAGAATCGCTTGAACCCAGGAGGTGGAGGTTGCAGTGAGCCGAGGTCGCACCACTGCACTCCAGCCTGGGCAACAGAGCGAGACTGCGTCTCAAAAAAATAAAAAATAAGGCAACAAAGAAAAATAAACAACAGTCTTTATCCCATTGGATAACTTATGGAAATAATCATACATTTTAAAATTCAAACTTGGTTATATCATAAAAGGATTTTCTTGGTCTGTTTGCATAGCTGTATTTTATCCCATCTTAAAATAATCTGGAGTTTTTTAGAGATTTTTCTTGTACACAAATCTTATTTACCCTAAAAACCTTTTACAAAACATTTCTCCAGCAAACTATGCTATATATACACCATGTGGCATCATCATAAAATATTCAACTTTATAGACGCTCATTTCTAGGCAATTCTGGTGAAGAATCAGTCAGCATAATTCTAAGAGTTGTTTTTTCACAGATGTACTGTGTAAATATACTGAGACAGTACACTAAATATAACTGATGGGGGCTCATCTTGGTGCATATGGGTAGCATGCATGTTGCCTTGGCCTTATTCATTAATCTTCTACATTACTTTGTATGTCCTGCAAACCCATGTGCACCTGTCTTCAATGCATTCAGTCTGTTTTACAGCCTTCTTCTGGCACTATCTAATGAAAACTATAAAAAGAAAATGTTTCTTTTCCATTACAGCAGCAACAAAAATTTCAGGAATGAGGCCACAAAAATACCATACCACGTCACAGGTCTCTTCTTAATAGTCTAAAAGCAGTTAGCATCAGACCATCACATCAGGTCAAAGAGCATTGAATTTCTAAACCAAAACCTTCCTTAGACATAACATTTAAATGTGATTATTATCTTAAAATATTGAAGTTAAAAAAAAGGGTGAGCATAATTTCTTATTACCAGTTTTTTGATTGATATAATCATTGAGTTATATTTATATCATATACTCTGTATGAACCATTCTTTTCTGTTTGATTGTAAACCCTAAAGACCAGGAATCAAAGTATCTTTAAATAAGTTTTATCTGCTCTAACACAGGGCCATAATGGGATAGTCCCTCTTTGACATTTACCACAAATATGTATTTACTAAAACTGCCACCTAGTACAAGCCCACTGTGAGGGTAAAAGAAGGGAGGAAATAATGGAATATCTGTGGTCATTATTCACTCAAGGATATCTAGGCCCGATGCTTTAAGTTTTTTTGTTTATTTTATAAAGAAGAATAAGATATTACTATAATAAGTACCAGCAGCTTTCATGATCCCTCCCATTCATTCAGTTTCTCCCCCAGCTTAAAAAACATAGGCACAACTGCCTGTTAACCACCACATTCTAAGGTCTCTTAACATTTCACCAGACCAAATAAAGACATTAGACTCAGGCCCAGCAGGCAATTGATTTCCAAATGACTGGAACTCTTAAAGCCCCACTTGTTTTTCATACCAAGACTCAGAAAATTCCTAAAAAGCCAATTACTGATATTGGTAATGGGGAGGAGCTTCCCAGCACTTACAATTTTTGTTTCATTGAAATACATTTAAAATTTCCTTCTGCAGGCATGTTCTCACAAAAATAAATAAATAAATGAAAAGAAAAAAAATTCCTAACAACTTGGTTCCACTACCCTTTTTTTCAGGTACAGAGCAGTTGCCTCCTGGAGTCGTGTTCAGGGAATTGGAATTCCTTTGGTAACTGCCATTGAAATAGTCTCAATCTGGATCCTGTCCTTTATCCTGGCCATTCCTGAAGCAATTGGCTTCGTCATGGTACCCTTTGAATACAGGGGTGAACAACATAACACCTGTATGCTCAATGCCACATCAAAATTCATGCAGGTACTAATCGTTTAAAAGGAATTAACTGGGGAAGGGAGGAGTTCCTCTGTTATACTTTACCATCTTGAGACTTGATGACATCACCACAATGCCAAGTGTGGTTTATTCTGTCAAATATTCTTCAGTTGCATGAAAAGTAGATTCTTGAATGGAACAGTTATTTTTTGCTTTCACTCTCGTATTATAGCGCAGTGGTAGACACAACTGTTATTTTGCACCAAACCACTAAGAATATCAAATTTACTAAGAATATCAAATTTACTAAGCGGGACTAGATGTGTGCGCATATATATTTATACACTATTTGTTTTTATAATAATGAATACAACACAATTTCCATCTGGAAGATGTGCTGATGTTTATCTTATGTCACTTGGGGAGAAGCATATTTCTTGCATTCTTTAAAGATGGATTTACTAATTCAAAGTAAAGAGTAGTACTTACATGTACTTATGTTAGTATGGTTTCTCTCTCTAATATACAAATAATATAAAATTGTAGAACTTTTAAAAAGAACATTTTGGTTTAACAAATTCAATTGTTATTTTTCTTACTACACCTGATCACATTAATGTTTTTCTGAAAAACTTAATCACATGACTGTTTTAGGAAACGTATTTAAAATGGATCTTTTCTTTGCAAAACTGGTTATATGTGGAATGAGGAGGAAAGCCAAAAGGATAAGTATTTCTCTTAAATCAGCATAATTTAGTGCTTTGATGTAAGTTTCATGCAGCTCACATTCCACATGTAATTGTTTACAGACATCTCAAGGTATGTTTTCCCAACTTGGAAAATTCACAGAATTCGTAGTTTTACAGTTGACCAGTTATCCTTATTGGAAATTCTTGTTTTAAAATTAAAAGTGCTCATGAAAACTGCCAAACTAGTAATTTAAAATTGAAGATTTTTATTGGGTCAGTCTTCAAAGTGAAAAAGTAGACAGCAGGAGATTGCCAAAATTTGGGCAGTTTGAATAAGCAATCTAGATATTCCCTATGCAAACGTTACAGAAAAGAGGATCACTGTAAGAAGAAGCTTACTAATCATTAGAGCCGGACACAATGAAATGGGCTGCTTCATAAAGACTGAGTGTCCTTTCTAGATGTGTTCAAGTAAAGGGTAGCTACCCTTCGGGCATGGGTGGCCTAGACGATTGTAGTAAAGGGTATGAGTTGAACAGGCAATCTTTTAGAGTTCATTCTGAGTCTGAAGTCCTGTTCTTTTTTTCTAAATTTATGTCCCCTCTTTATTCCACTCTTGCTCTTCAACTTTATCCTAGGCTGTTGGAAGGCCCCTCTTTACCCTTGTTGATGACATTAGTTCCAAAGAGATGCATTACCTGTTTCTCTGTGGGCCTTTGCCATGGAGGGGGCAGGGGACTCCATTCAGCCCTCTCAAGAGTCAGCCTCCAGACCCTCTGCAGCTGCTTCTGGGTCATTTACACCCAGCCAGCAAATGCACTAGGAAAAAGAGGATACAAAAAAAGGGAGAGTGGGTGCTCAAAGGAGTGTTCGTGTTGTCAAAAAAGAGAGAGAGTGCTTCTGACTTTTTCTAAGTTCAGGACTGAAATCTTTCTACAGTGTGTTGGGAACAGAGAAATGTTTGTGTAAGTAGTTTAGAATAAACCAATTCCTTTGGGAGTTTGCACTTAACTTGAGGATAGAATTCAGAGATCTGTGAACTTGGATGGAAAAGAAATGACATGTTTATTTTCACTAACTTCTAACTGAATTTATCATTTCATTCAATTATGAATGTACACAACAAATCACCATAGTGTTTAACAGTACCATGACTTTTTCACTAATGAAAATAGCAGACATTTTCATACCATGTAACACTGTATAATCTCGAAATATCATTTACACTCATCAGAACTTTAACACTTCAACAGTTGGTAGTTATTAGAACTACCATTAGGTTTGTTATTTGTGAATAAACACATACATTACTATATCAAAATTTAATTTCTAATATTTTGATAGCTGTGTTTTAATGTAATTGGTTTCCATTGCAATCTTATGTATTTTATTTGATGCATGTAAAAGTAATATTCTCAGAAGGGATTTAGTCTTCACCAGACTTCCTAAAGGGTCTGTGGCATAAAAATAGTTAAGAACTCCTGCCTCAAACTTTTCATCTTTAGGAACCATTTTTAGATGATTTTAATAGACATGTCATAAATGCAGCCCACTTAGCCTCTTTCTATATTCAGAAACTGTCCCATTTTTTATAGAGCAGCATGATTATTTTTTACTGTGGGAACTGCATTGTCCTTAGTAAATTAACAATCTGAAGAAGCATTATAAGGAAAGAAAAAGCATTTCTTCCCAAGTTGGTGATTAATTTTGTAGGAAGAAGAATTTAGATATCACTTTTGATTTTCCATTTTTATAGGGTATTAAGTTTTCTTCTCTAAGAAGATATAAAACTGAATAATCTTGGTATTTATAAATCCTGCCTGGTCAGATAATGCCAGATATGCCTACAGTTTAGGTATACTACCTCAATAGTTTCCAGGTGGTAAGTATTAAAGGAGAGAGAAGAGTATTGTTATTGATGTTCAAACTGGCTGGCTTTAAGGTCACATAGCAGGCATACCAGGCAGAGGGTTAACCCCTGTTAACCAAAGCTACACATATAAGCCATTCATAACCATCACTGTTTAAAGTTAAATACATTTTCACCACAATAGTCAAAATAAAGCAGGCACTAACAAAATGTTGAGGTTCATCAAAAAATAAAGATAAACATATATTTTTTTGTCTCAAAATCATGTTTTATGAGCTTTAAAAGAATATTATTTTTATTGATTAGGGCTCTTTCATTGTGTAGTTGAAATCAACTTCAATCTATGAAAAGTATCCTTGTCAAGATAATTTTTGTAAGTGCAGTTTCTTTATGTGCTGTTTAAAGACAGGATAATTTCTGAAGTTTCCAATTTAACTGAGTTTTGAGGACCACCCCCAAACCTATTACTGCAACCAGAGAGTAAGATTTTACAAATGCATCTGCAAGTTTAAAGATCTTGAAGCTACCAGAAGCATCGCACAGTTAATTGACATGACTCTGCTTCCTCCTTTTCCTTTTTTTTTTTTTCTTCACTTTGAAGTTCTACCAAGATGTAAAGGACTGGTGGCTCTTTGGGTTCTATTTCTGTATGCCCTTGGTGTGCACAGCGATCTTCTACACCCTCATGACTTGTGAGATGTTGAACAGAAGGAATGGCAGCTTGAGAATTGCCCTCAGTGAACATCTTAAGCAGGTAAATCTTATAACATCATGAAAATCTGGCCAGGACTGGTTAGTCCTGGACAGCAGCAGGCCTGCAGATACTGTCTTTAGCAAAATTAGCCTATTTCCTGAAATAAAAATACTATCTTGTAACTGTTTTCTTTATAGTAATAGTGTTAGAAATTTCCTTTGTAAAATGGGAAGCCTGCCTGTGAAACAAGTGGTCCTAAAGGCTGGGCCCAAATAGAGAAGAACTATTCCTCTATTTTGCCAAGAGTGTATTGGGCATGTGTGTGACTCCATGCATTGAACTGGGCTTGGAACTGTACCAGGACACAAAGAAGCATATGACTTTCTCCCCATGCAGACTTACAGTCTTTTTGTAGATATAAAATACACATGAAAAACAACTGGAAAATAGAATCACAGTTGTGGTCCAAGTAGCTTGTGCTACGGAAAGCCAGGGAGTATGAGATAGAGTCATGGAGAAGCTATTCATGGATGAGGGAGACTGAACTGGACCTTGAAGGATAAATGGGATTTGATGGAGAAGAAGTCGACAGAGAGCATTTCAAGTGGAAGAATAGGAGGCTAGTTAGAATGTGGAATAGGAACCATGCATTTGGGGAGTAGGAAAAAGGAGATGAACCTCACTAGAGCAATGTCTAATGTGAGACTTACACTAGGAAATGGGATCATGTACATTAGAAGAGGTAAAATGTTGGAGGGCCCAAAGTTCTAGAAGGAATTTGAACATGTCAATCGGAGGCTAATGTTGGTCCCTCCTGGGTGAAATTAGAACAGATAAAGCTGTGGGCTTCCAAGGGCAAAACTAGACCCATACTTGGTTCTCTGACCTTGGGCAAATTGCTTAATCTCTCTGCACGTCTATTTTCTCATAATATGTATGAAATAAAACATCATGGGGATTGCCTGAGACATGTAAGGTGCCTAATAGAACCCAGCTCCTAGTAAGTATTAAGCAAAGGTTAATTTACGTTAATTCTAAGAGGAAAGCTAGGATTTCAGCTAAGTTCCCTGTTGCAACAGAAAAGTATATAATGATGTCCAACTACACCAAAAGTTACTGTGAGTTGTTGATGGAGTCTGTAGATTTGTCCTATATAATTACCATGTGCAATCATCATTCCTCATCAGCAACTCTTTTCAACTACCATACTGATTTTTCTGAGCGTCAGCTCGTCATCCATAAATTGGGCATAAAATATATGAATCAATCATATTATGAGAATCAAAGGGATGAATGTGTAAGCATGTACTTTGTATAATCTAACATGCCATACAAATGGTAGCTATTGTCTTATATTGACATTTAGCAGGAAGATTACATTGAGAAATCTTAGCATGACTTTGTTCGGGCATGAAAGTTTTAAATACTCCAATTGCTTAATATGTTTACAATTATTTCCTCTCATTCTTGGAATGGAGGTAGTTAGAATAGGTTTGTGAAAAACAATGTTTTAAAATATGGATTTTTGCATTCGCACCGTGATTGAGGCTATTTAATCTATGAGTGGTATTTGCAGTGGAAATAATTAAATAAGGTTTAGGAACAATAGTCCTATGCTGCTTCATGTTTACATAGCATTTTTTAAGTTTTAAAGCACATTTCCATTTCCATGTCTTTTTCTTATTTGATTCCTCCTAGGGCCCTATGAGAGAGGTAGGATATATATTATCTTTATTATACAGGTGATTAAGAGGTTTGCTCAACCAAATGGAGATTCAAATCCAAGATTTTGTCCTCAAGCAGTTAATGTTCCTTTTGGTGCCACTCAAAGCTGTAGCAAACCCTAAGAACAGAATAGCAAGGGTCACTGGAGGTCCTGCAGATGGGACTGTGGGAGAGCCAGCATACAGCACAAAGCCTTGCCATCCTGACCAATACTCTGTGGGGCTCATGGTTTTGCTTCTTGCTTGGTTGTCTCCAATTTCTCCTCATCATAGTGATGACAGTTTTATCAATTAGGGGTTGTGTTTGGATGCTGGGAACACAAAACTCAAAATAACAATTAGTTGACAAAGGAGTTTATCTTTCTCCCATATAAAAAGTTCAGACATCAAGGTTTAGTGGTCAAACCAACTTAGAGGCCAGGTATCTACTGTTTTGCTTATCTTTCCTTCAGTCTCAGAAGATGGTAGCAGCAGCTCTACTTTTACACCTGATTTCCAAGCAGCAAGTGGGGAAGAGCATAAAATAACATATAGTGGGTGTACACCAAAGAAATGTCCCTATACTTTTCAGTAGCTCTCCTGGAAACGCATGCAATAGTTTCTATTTCATCTAATGGGTCAAAACTGTGCCAAGTGGCCATGTAGATGAGTAGGCCAGACTCCCCAGCCGCCATAACAGATCAAGAATTGAGTGATGTTAAGGAAGACAGGAGAATGGATATTGGTTAAGCAAATATCAGACTAACATGGCAATGTACTAATAACACCTTTTAAAAGGGTTACCCTTTTTGAGTATGCACTCAGGAAAGGTAACCCCTCCTTTAATACGTTGCTTTTCTATTTTTCTGGGCATGCTATCTTTCTGGACACACAAAATTACCCTTTTAAAAACAGTCCCCATTCTCGCAGATTTGATTATTTTATTTCTTCCCTCAATCGTTACTCTGAAGTCATATCCCAGCTAGCCCAATAACTGTGAGAGGTTAAAGAACTCCCAATTTTTTGGGCTAGTGTAGTGAGTTATGAAAACTGCCCCAGAATATTTTTGAATGGCTCAGCCAATCATATGAGTCTACTGTAGGCTTCCCAAACTTAATGTTATATGTTTCAAGTCGAGCCAAAATTACCCTTCCAGACTCTGTTTTCAATCAGTTTTATTTTGACATTAGCTGATCCCATTTACAGACAAGTTGCATTTTATGTTCCTAGTCAGGCTTCTAAATGCATGCAATATGATACTCAAATAATGCACACCAATGAATAGTTGCAGATAATACCTAACCTACAGTTTTTCTGATTTGGAGCAGACTCAAAGGCATGCAAACCTTCCACAAAGTCAGTCCAAGGTCAGCATGTTCTAGATTTTCCAGATTGTTTGCAAATAATATATAATATTTTTAGAAACTATATGTCATTAAGAAAAGAATTTAAAGAGCAAAAAGTCCCAAAAGTAGCTGTGTTCAAGATCAGGAAAAGGAGAAAACATATTGCTATTACTTTTCTGCTCCCCACTCCTATTTTGTTTTCTCAAGGTCTTTGTTGTTTTGTCCATTCATTATCACATCATGTTCAGTCTCCTTGCCTGCCACGTCATCAATGCTAATTAGTTAGCTGTTATTAAAAGCCATTAGCTAACCCTTTCCCCCATGCAGTCACAACCCACCCACCTACACACACATACACACATACATGCAGACTCAGTAACAGTGGTGTTGGCTCACCTCGAGCCAGTTCCCACCTCTCTCCTGGCATATAACCTCTGTCCTGGCCCTAATAACCAACCTGAGGCCCCCATCCTTCCTGGAAGCTGCCCAGAAGCGTCATTAGCAATTCCTTGATTAGAACGCTGACCTTAGAATCTTGAAGACGTAGAGGCACTGTAAGCCAGGCTGTCCTTCTGGCTCTTTTTGAATTATTCTTTCCCTGATGTCTGCTACTTCCTGGTAGTACAGTTTTTACATCTAGTATAAAAACACTAAACTTGTTGTACTTTCTTTTTTCTCACTTTCCTTTAGCGTCGAGAAGTGGCTAAAACAGTTTTCTGCTTGGTTGTAATTTTTGCTCTTTGCTGGTTCCCTCTTCATTTAAGCCGTATATTGAAGAAAACCGTGTATAATGAGATGGACAAGAACCGATGTGAATTACTTAGGTATGATCCTATGTACTTGCTAGAAAATTGGAGTTTCTCAGATTTTCATATTTATAATACTTTTACAAAACCACCTACTCTACATCCCCATTAGCCCTGAAAATTAAAACTGCAAAGTTGATTTTTCTTCTTTAGCTGACATAGCCTATAACTGATCCCAAAATCTGTGCAAGCCACATCTGTTATCTTGCCACTCCCCTCCTGAGGCTGTGCATAGGGTTTCAGCTAACCAAGTAGTGATGTATCTGTAACTGTCCTACAAAACTGAAACTGCCACTTAAACAAGCACTTTTAACAAAATTCTAACTGCCACCTATAAGAAATGGCTTCTGGGCAAGAAAAATGCTTATACTAGGAATAAATGCTAGTTAGCAGATTTTAAAACAATATATTCTAATTATTCTATGCCATTTTCTTTTGCTCTAGTTTCTTGCTGCTCATGGATTACATCGGTATTAACTTGGCAACCATGAATTCATGTATAAACCCCATAGCTCTGTATTTTGTGAGCAAGAAATTTAAAAATTGTTTCCAGGTAAGATGATTTTTCACATATTTTTTTAAAGATAACAAAATGAATATATTAAACAGTCAACAGACACAGCCAATTCCAGTTGCAATATTACTTTGATCAGCTGTACTCCTTTTTAGCAGTGAAGAGAAAATCATGTTTTATTACCCAGAAAGAGTCAGATTGCCAGCATAACGGAAAAGCAGTTCCTATTTAGACAACCACATACAAAGAGGTTAAAATCAAAAGGACTAAATCACATGCCAGTTTAGACACCTCCTTTAGAGATGAATGTTCCAATGTATGCTCCAGGCCACACAGAGTACATAAGACCTATTCATACCTTACATTGTCTTAGACTTGAACCAAAGTCTCAACAAAATATAAACTCTATTGTTAAGAAAGCTCTCACTAAATGTTATTTAATTGTGTGCTTAGTAATAGAATCTTCAAGGATAGTAAATGCTTATTGCTGTGGGAATCTAAACAAATATAATTTTATTCAAAATCAGTTTCCTTCTGCTTTCAAGCCTCCAGCCAGCTCAGCCACCCAGGTCTTTCAGAAGCTCTCAGCCTGTCTTATTCATGTGTCATTTTCTGGCTCCTGAAAAATGGTTTTAGCATAGGCTTAATCCTCACTGGATTTTGTTATCTTGGAAGAGGCTGTTTAACTTCAGTTTACGGTACATATGATGCAGAGTAGGGCAGAGGTCAAGAATGCAGGCTCTGGAAGCAAAGAGCCTGGATGGATATCACAACACGCACTTGCTAACTGTCTATCCCAGGTCTGGTTAGTGCCTCTCCTGCTTTTTCAGTTTCCTCACCTATAAAATTGGATGATCGCAGTATCTCTTTCACAAGGAGGGTAATATTCGTTTAAAATAATAAGTGCTCAATATGAGTTGATTATTATTAGGGACAGAGTAGAGAGGAAAAACACAGTACTGCCCTCATGGAGCTTACAGTCTAAACGGAGACAGACATATATTAACCAAAGAATCACACAAATAGATGAAACTTGGTATGGAAGTTTTGGGCTGTATTTCTGAGATCTTCTTGGAAATGTTTGCCAGTCACAAAACTCTGCCTAAAATGGATTGACTAACATGCACGTTAAAACTAGTACATTATATAAGCTGAAATTAATTATTATTAATTTACATATTCATTGGGAGGAGGGAAAATCAAGGTAAAAATTATCAGAAATTAATCCCGCTTTTTGCTGGATCTTCCTAAAAAGTCAGCATACCCAATCTACAGAGTCCTGGGTTCTAATGCCAGTTCTGCCTCTCATTATCCTCCCTGGACCTCACTGTCCTCATTCATAAAATGGGGGATTAGCACCTGCCATCCAAGGCTGTTGTGAGGATCTGATGAGGTACCTGGTGCAGAGAGCCACACAGTTGGTGCACACTGAAAAAATGCTAGGACCCCCCCTTGCCCAGCCCTACCCTTGCCTGCCCCAAGCTGTGGAGAACCCTCCCTCTCATCAATACTGCCTTCCCTTTTTCTTGTACATGGTAATAGAATTAAAATGAGAAACAAAGGCTCTATTTCTCTGCACTGGAATGGACAGTTTAACTCCTGCCTGGAGAGAACAGCCTCTCCACCCTAGGTTACTATAGAGGTTCACTTCCCTCAAATGTGAATGGACATTTTCCCCTCGTTGGTATGGCCCAAGGCTGCTGTGTTTGGCTGGGAATGGGCTGGTAGTCTCGCCTTACTTCGAGTCTGTTCCTTCCCCCCAGTCATGCCTCTGCTGCTGCTGTTACCAGTCCAAAAGTCTGATGACCTCGGTCCCCATGAATGGAACAAGCATCCAGTGGAAAAACCATGATCAAAACAACCACAACACAGACCGGAGCAGCCACAAGGACAGCATGAACTGACCACCCTGAGAAGCACTCCTCGGGTACTCCCATAATCCTCTCAGAGAAAAAAAATCACAAGGCAACTGTGACTCCGGAAATCTCTTCTCTGATCCTTCTTCCTTAACTCACTCCCACACCCAAGAAGAAATGCTTTCCAAAACCACAAGGGTAGACTGGTTTATCCACCCACAACATCTACGAATCATACTTCTTTAATTGATCTAATGTACATATTCTGGCGTGTTGTATTCAGCACTAAAAAATGGTGGGAGCTAGGGGAGAATAGAGACTGTTAAATGAAAATAGAAGGACATTTACTACTTTTGCATGAAAATAGAGTTTTCAAGTACATGGCTAGCTGTTATGGCAGTTCTGGTAAATGTTCAATGGGAGCTGGTCACCATGAAATGTTAAGAGATTATGACAAGATTTTCTACTTTTTTTAAGTGTTTTTTTTTTTCCTTCAGCCAAACACAGTATGGGCTCAAGTCACTTGTATTTGAAATGTCATTTGGTACCAGTATTTTTGAACTGCCTAATAGCCTAACATGATTATTTGAACTTATTTACACAGTTTG